CCACGTTGAACAGGGGATAGCTTGGACTTCCGAAGGAACCACCATGTCCGAAGAGGCTTCGCAATCACTTCCGTCACGCTGGAATCAAGGACTTGGAGCTGCACCAACAGCTCCCGCTCCTTCTTCTCGAATCTGGCGGCCCAGTCCTGGAAGGTCTCGCCCGAGTTCCGGCTGACCTTCAGGAAGAACTCCTCCGCGAGGAGGCCCGTATCATTCAGGCTGGTGAAGTCCAGCTTCTCCAATACGTACTGAAACACTTTGTTCCAACCAATCAAAACTCCATCCTTGTCGATCTCGTCGACCGTGTCGATGTCCGGGCAGCTCTCCACCGTCGTCCGGACTCGCGCCCCGAGGGCGCGCACCAGCTGCGGGCCGCATACGTAGCGCTCCGCAGTCTTGATGCTCTTGGTGAACATGGAGACCTCAAACTTGTAGCTCGTCAGCTTGTCTGCCTCGCCGTTCCATGATGGGACGTCGACGCGCGTCGTAGGTGGCCCGCTGGCGGCCGTAGTCGCCATTCAGGCCGAGACCTGTGGGAGCCCGTGGTTGTCGGAGACCACAGGCTCCGCTACCAATCTGATTGCTAGAGCTCGTCCTCAAGATCGGTCACGCTGGTGACGATGAGGATGAGCAAGAGAAAGTATGTGTCGATGTCAATTATCGTGATAATTGTCAGTGAACACCTTTTGTCCACGATATGAACGGCCGCGCTGTAGTGTGCGCGGTCTGCCTGGCACAGCCAGGCTCTGTCAGAAAGAATCCCGCCCTCCCTCGCCTTGAGCCAAGGGTGGCGGTGGAACGGGCAGGGCAGACGGGCAGGAGACAGCTGCTGCTCAAGCTTACTCCTGCGTATCTTTCAGATGGTGGGGCCCCAGCTAGACCCTTGTGCTCCCCGTCTGCGCCCCTGCGGGCAGCGCCAACGTCGAGAACTGATGTTTCACTGGTTTCGGGAGGCCTCCAAAGGCTTCTGGGGATCTCCACGGAGAGGTCCGGAGATCCTCCTCCTCCTCCTCCTCCTCCTCCTCCTCCTCCTCCTCCTCCTCCTCCTCCTCCTCCTCCTCCTCCTCCTCCTCCTTCTCCTCCTCCTCCTCCTCCTCCTCCTCCCTTTCCTCCTCCTCCTCCTCCACCACCCTCCTCCTCCTCCTCCTCCTCCTCCTCCTCCTCCTCCTCCTCGTCCTCGTCCTCCTCCTCCTCCTCCTCCTCCTCCTCCTCCTTCTCGTCCTCCTCCACCCCTCCCCCCCTCCTCCCCCTCCTCCTCCTCCTCCTCCTCCTCCTCCTCCTCCTCCTCCTCCTCTCTCCTCCTCCTCTTCCCTCCTCCTCCCCTCCTCCCCTCCCCTCCTCCTCCCCCTCCTCCTCTCCTCCTCCTCCTCCTCCTCCTCCTCCTCCTCCTCCTCCTCCTTCTCCTCCTCCTCCTCCTCCTCCTCCTCCTCCTCCTCCTCCTTCTCCCTGTTATTCGGCCGTCGGACGGCGCGCCTCGTCACCACGACTGGGCGCGGCTCGATCAAGCAGGACCGGAGCAGACCCCGGGCTGGTGTCGAGGCCGATCTCTTGAGCGGATCCTGGTCGGGGAGGTTCGGTGACGATGACGATGACGCTGACACGATGATCACGATGACGTCATCGTCATCATAGTCATCGTCATAGTCATCGTCATCGTTATCGTCATCGTCATCGTCATCATCGTGTCATCGTCATCGTCATCACCATCGCCGTGTCGTCGTCACCGTCATCGTCATCGCCGCGTCATCGTGATCGTCATCGTCATCGTCATCGTCATCATCGTCATCGTCATCATCGTCATCGTCATCATCGCCATCGTGTCATCGTCACCGTCATCGTCATCGCCATCGCCATCGCCATCGTCGTGTCGTCGTCATCGCCATCGTCGTCGCCGTGTTATCGTCTTTGGCATCGTCATTGTCATCGTCATCGTCATCGTCATCGTCATCGTCATCGTCATCAGCATTGTCATCGTCATCGTTATCATCGTCATCGTCATCGACCTCCGACCGCCACCAGGCCGCCCTCTTTGCTGGGGACTTCGGCCGCCGCCGCAAGGCCGCCGCGCTCAGGGAGTCAGGCAGGTGCCCCACGGGGCGTGGTCGCCGCTGGGGAGGGCGGGCTCGCCACTTCGGTCCGAGAGTCGAGGGTCGAGCTGGGGGGGTACCCAGGATCTCAGGGGAGGGAAAGGTACTACCGCTACCCTCGCCTCGTTTTCCCCTTTTTGGGCTTGCTGGGAGGCGCTCGATGCCACTGCTGGAGTCGCCTCGACATTCTAGTCAGAACGCACCCTGGGAGATGTCTTGACAGTAGCGGTATTAATACCTTTTGGTGTGCCTGCCACAAGCCGAGAGAGCAAGGTGCCAAGCTCGATCCTCCCCTGTCGCAGTCAGAGGGGGGAGGGTCTACGCTTGACGGTTTACTTGTATGCAGTTGCCGCCTCTGCGCGCTCCCATAACCTCACGGACATCAGCGCACGGCATCATCACCGCGGCCGAGACAGTCGTAATCACCATGTTGATTGCACCACCGTCCTCAAACATGCGCGCCATCGCCATCACCATACACCGTCAACATCAGCACACAATGCCTTCAGTGACAGTCTCAGTTGCACCAGCCCCACTGATACCAGCAGCGAACTCGGCGTCAACATCACTCTCACAACCAGCAGCACATCTACCAACAGCCTGTGTGCGCAGAACGTTTCCGCCTGTCATCGTGTGGAAGCCCTGGGCCTCACCGGTCCACCATGGTACCCACACACGCAGCGAACGTGCCCACACAAGCACGCGGAGACAACGCGACGGCATGGCACATCATAATAATATCGATGGACCTTACCACCCGACACAAAGTTGACGAAGGCAATGCGCTGAGAGACAAATTGTGAGCATTTCAACTTTGGGTTCTGGGGGGAGAGGGTCTGCGAGAGATGTGTATTATGCGACTATGGTTGTTGTCATTACATCTGGGCTTGGACCGTAGCGGCTGATCAATCCGTATGTGTACTAGGGGGAACCTGGGCGCAGCCTCGGTGATGAGCTTTCGTGTGGCCATAGCGGTGACTCTCGAGCCTGTTCCGCTGGACGACTTCGATTAGTGTGGGGCATCGGAATAAAAAAAAAACGGCCACAGGACTGCCGTGCAACAGCGCTGTGTCACAGTCGAGGTGCCTGGGATGGTGGTTGTCTGTGTATATGTCACCATATTCAACAGCATGTTTCTCCCTTTCTGTTGTCCTGTCTTGCCGTTTCGGGTTGGGCGGGTGCGAAGGGTCCCAGGTGGTTCCCAGGACATCCCAAGTGCTCCTGGGGAGATCCTCAGGTGTTCCTTGACCGTCCTGGGGGGTTCTTCAGATGTCCAAGGGCCGTCTTGAGTTGCCTCTCGGCCATCTTGGGGCGATCTTGGAACTGTCTTGGATTCATTCGGGATGGCCTCTTCGAGTGTGTCGAAGTCGATGAAGGCGCTACATGGGCCGTCTTGGAGGCGCGGGGGTAGTGGCGAATGCTTCCAGGAATGAGAAGTACGGAACGGGAGCATGCAAGCCCACTCCACTTGGAGGCCATGTTTGCCAGCAAACGTTGCAAACTATTGTTACACCTGTTCCATCCTCCGAGCTCCTTCCTTCTCCCTCCTCCCTCCTCCTTCTTCGTCCTTCCTCCTTCCTCTCTTTGCTTATCCCTCCCTCCTCATCCTTCTTCTCCTCCTCCTCCTATTCCTCATGCCAGGGCGGCGAGGCAGGGACGGGCCCGGAGCAGGAGGAATATGGAGGGTGGCAGCTGTCATTGCAGAGGGGCAACGGAGCCCGAGCAGAGCAACATGCACCACGACCACGACGCCGCCGCCGACGACGACGACGAAGACGACGACAACAGAGAGGAGGCGCGCTAACGATCCGCACCGACACAAGGATTTGGGACATGGCCCAGCCTGCGATCTTACAGGAGGGAGGTGGAAGGAGGAGGAGGAGGAGGAGGACGCGGAGGAGTTGAAGGAGCAGGAGGAGGAGTTGGAGGGCTTGGAGCAGGGGGGGCATACCCAAGGAGGAGTGGTGTGTGTGTGTGCCCTCCAAGTGGCGCCGACGGTGCCAGCCGCAGAGGGGACCTGAGTTCGTGCACCATCGCTCGCTTACGCGAGGAGCAGGATCCTGGAGAGCCCAGCTCTCGTGCACGATTTCCCTTCGCCTGGCACGCGGGTGGGAAGATCGGGTGCCGATGTGTTGCAACCGCCCCCGCGCGCATGCCTTGTGAAGGACAAGCTTGCTTGTGGGATGGTGTACACACATCGCGTCCCTGGCGGATGCCGTCTTTGTATGTATATATGTATATATATACATACACACACGTCGCTCCACGGTCTTGAGCCAGACCATATGATTTTGTGGGAGTGGTGCACCAGACAAAAAAACGAGCAGGAGTAGTTGGAAGAGGGAGGAGAAGAGGGGGGGAGAGAAGCTCCCCCCCCCCTCATCCAGAGGCCTCGTCTCGCTCAGCGGCTGATCTCCGCGGGGGCCTCTCTTTGTCCTCCTATCGCCTATCGTCTCCCTTGCGCGAGCGAGCAATTACGTGAAGCCTCGAAAGGGGATCGCCATCCATCAGCACAGGTGGTAGAAGCATCTGGCTATGATGTGCGCGACGCCTAAGCGAGAGCACGGCTTTGAAACACGTGCGACTGTTGGGAATGCTCAGCGCCAGGATGGTAATGTGTGAGGATGTCTCAGGCGAGGCCTCGACTTCGAAGAGGGGCCGTCCCCACCCATATTCGTCTGTCGGCCTCATGCTGTAGCATACGTAGGCTGGGGGAGAGTCCCAGGCGATAGCCAGGTTTTAAACTTGGTGTCGTCAGGTGGGAACGTCTGGATGATCAGAAGGTGTGAAAGGGGGTCTGGGGCAAATCTCCCAGGCTGCCTTATTGACACGTTTCGGCGCTACGAGTAGGAGTTAGCTGTAAGGGGTACGGACGGAGGCCCCAGTGTTTGGGACCCTGCGCCCTCCTCCCAGGAACATGTACGTCACTTCTGGCCTTTTGAAGAACGGGTGCAGCACCGCCGTCGTGGACTCCATAAATTTGCAGGCGAGCCATTCTCGTGATACGTTTCGGCATGTTGCTGTCCACTGCCTTGACATGATTTGCGTCCACTGCGCATCACACTTCTGCATCCTTCGCCTTCGCAACCCGCTACCTCTCTTGTTGGAGCTTCCTGGACGCCTTTTCGGGCTTGCTTTGCCGTTGCTAGTGTCCACCCTGCACGCTTGCTTGCACTGTATCCAGTGACGCGCGGTAGAGCAACTTCGGCGCAAATACCGTGCTTTGTTTTCTTGTGTATGTGTCCGAGATCTTCGGTCGCGCTGTTCATAGATCGTTCGCTGGCCACTGCGAGGCGTACAGCAAGGTCCTCTACAACATTCGCGGCACGTCTGCGTGCCAGCTGGAAGAGAGCGTGGAGGATTGCGAGGGTTGGAAGGATACCGCCGCGCGCTCCTGGCGACTGCGTTCGACTTCCTCGGGCCACGTGAAGAGACGTCAGGCCTCTTTCGGAGCCAGTCCAGGTCCCTCTCCGAAGTGCGTTCGACTGTACACGCAGTGCCTTGGGGACCCGCAGGAATCCCTGGGACACCCTGGGAGCTCCCAACATCGGCGACACGTGTGCCCCCAGATCTCCCACCGAAGCATTTCTCATCGCATGCGCGCATCCGGATCCGGCGCAGCCGCTGCGTGACACGGGGCGGCGCGGCCCACTTCGCTCTACCGGCATCGGTTTGGCAAGTGGTCGGGCTTGCTGCGACCCCCCGGCGGGCGGGGGCCCATGGCAGGGAGAGGGGCCCATCGGTTGTCCACGGGTCCGATCGGCCTGACGTCTGCGCGTCGACGTCTGCGCGCGGCATCGATCGATTCGACAGCGCACGTGTTAATCAGGGAACAAACAACAACAAGAACATAAAAACTCGGAGCTCCGCGCGGATTTCTCGGATCCGCGCTGGATCCCCCTCCCTGGCGCGCGGAGCGCGCCAGGGTCGGCTCCATAGGCACCGCCAGGGAGGCCCCAGCGCGGATCCGAGAAATCCGGAGCGGACAGTGTTTCTGTTTATGCCATTGTTCGTTCCCCTAGTTTAGCCTTCCCTCCACGGACGGGGTTTGACTTCCAGCGGTTCGAGTGTGCAGGCGGCTCGATTGGCCTACCAGGTTACCTGCGGCCCGCGGACTGTTGTGCGCGGCTTGCCATGTACAGTGCTTTTCTTCTCCTCCAGGAAAGCCCCCTGTGAGGCCCCCCCCCCCCGCTGCCCTCCCAGAACCCCCCCCGTCGAGTCTCTCTCCCTCTTTCTTCCACTGGTATGTAGGGACGACGACAACGAGGAGGAGGGGGGACGATGATGGGGGACGAGGATCATGGGGAGGAGAGGAGGAGGAAGAAGAAGAAGAGGAGTAGGAGGAGGTGGAGGAGGAGGAAGATGAGGAGGAGCAGGAGGCAGGGCGAGGGAGGGGGAGGGATGAGGATGATGAGCAGGTGAAAGAGGAGGAGGAGGAGGAGGAGGAGGAGGAGGAGGAGGAGGAGGAGGACGACGACGACGACGACTTCGACTGTACTGCCTGTCTGCCCAGTTGGTGGTACCAGTTTCGAAGCCATGTGCTAGCGCTTCACGCGTATTTGATGAGGGTTACCCCAATATTTAAGAGACAATTTTCTGATCGGCCCTGTACTGGACCTACTCGCACTCATGCTACACAGAGGGAGGTTGGAGTGGTGTGTACTTTGGGTGAGTGGGGAGTAGGGCAGGAACCAGCGTGCACGTCTGGCCACCACCGCAGTTCTAACACTCTCTCCCTTGCTCGCTGCTCCACCTTGCCGCTTTCTCCTCGCACTTCCGTTCCGCTTCGTTTTCTCCAAAGTGATAGGAGGTCGAGCTTCATCTTGTTCCTGCGGTTTGAAATTCTGTTCTACCATATCGTTGTGATCAGACGCGGCGGATCACGCTAGCCTACGTCGGTACAGAAGAAAGAGAACGTTTGACGGCGATGGGGTGGCGGACGTGTAGAAAGAGAGAGTGTCCGGCCAGGAGAACCGCTACACCGCCTACCTCCGGTTCCTGGAGGAAGACATGGACCGCGGCTTAGTTCACGCAGCGATGCTCTTTCAGCTTTGCGCTGGGTGAGGGGGAACAATTTTAATGGAATGGAAGAGGAAAAGGAGGACGACGCACATGACAGACTAAGGCTCGGAGGAGGACTAGGGGGAGAACGAGCAGGAGAAATCGATGAGGACGAGAAGGAGGAGGAGGAGGAGGAGGAGGAGGAGGAGGGTAAAAAACATGAGGAGGAAAAACAGGAAAGGCTGGGAGGATGAAGACGAGGAGTCCGATGTCCGCTGACCGCAGGGCTTGCAAATTTCATGTCGGGCGCGCAGCCGCGACGGTCTTGTGGGAAACGCACAGGCAGATCAGCCATGTCATGAGGAGGAGACGGAGGAGGAGAAGAAGGAGGAGGAGGGGGAGGAGGAGGAGGAGGAGGAGGAGGAGGAGGGGTTGGAGTTGGAGTTGGAGGAGGAGAAGGCGGAAGAAGAGGAGGAGGAGGAGGAGGAGGAGGATAGCAGCGGTACCATGCAGGATCAGCAGAGGAATAGCTTCCAGGAGGAAGGAGAGGGGGATGGGGATCGGGGAGAGGACCACGAACAAATGACGGGGCGCTCGCGTAAATTGACCGGGGTCCTTTCGAATTTGTTTCGCAAATATTATTGGGAATCTCTTTCAAATTAAAACCGACCCTCCATCCCTCCAAACTCCGCCGCAGGTGCCCGGAATAATTTAGTCCTGGAACGCAAGTGAAACAATTGGTTTTCTCAACCAGTTTTCTGGTGACCCACCCCTTCGTGGGTCACCTGGTGTGCTTGCGCCGTATCGAAAACGCATTGAGTGGCAGTGCGTCGCCTCATGTTTTCTGGTGACCCACCCCTTCGTGGGTCACCCGGTGTGCGTGCGCCGTATGGCAAACGTATTGAGTGGCAATGTTTCGCCTCATGCTGAGGCCCAGAATGCAAGTGAAACAATTGGTTTGTCTCAACCAGTTTTCTGGTGACCCATCCCTTCGTGGGTCACCTGGTGTGCTTGCGCCGTATGGCAAACATATTGAGTGGCAGTGCGTCGCCTCATGACGAGGCCCAGGACGCAGGTGAAGCAATTTGTTTTTCTCAACAAGTTTTCTGGTGACCCACTCCTTCGTGGGTCACCTGGTGTGCTTGCGCTGCATGGAACACGTCCAAGGTGGCAGTCATCTGGATTCCTCGGAGGGCGCCGGGCCATGTCCTAGGGATTCCTGAGGTTCCCCTTGGGGTTCCTGAGGGTGCCCTAGGTGTTCTTGGGGATTCACTAGGGATTCCTAAGGAGCCCCGAGGGATTCCGAAAGATGCCCTGAGGACCCCGCAGGATCCCCGAAGGATTCCTGCGGATTTCCGAAGGGATTCTTTGGGAGCGCCGAGAGACTCCTCAGGATTCCTTAGGGATTCTTGAAGATTCCGCTTTGAACCCCAAGGATTCCGCAGGGAATCTCTTGGATTCCCGAGGGAGTCATAAGGACTCCCAAGGGTTTCCGGATCCCGCGGGGATTCTTAACGACACCTTAGGGATTCCAAAGGATTCCTTCGGGATTCTTGAGGATTCCCAGGAATCCCTCAGGATTCCCGTAGGGTTCTTGAGGAACCCGTAAGGATCCCCTAGGGATTCCTAGGATCCCTAAGGGATTCTTAAGGAACCCCTAAGGATTCCCTTGGGATTCTTGTGGGTGCCCTAGGGATTCCTAAGGATTCCTTAGGGATTCCTGAGGATTCCCAGAGGATCCCCAAGGATTCCCAGAGGCTGCCCCTCGCAGGCCGCCCTTCACACGCTTCCATAGGCTTCCCCCGATAGGCTGTCCTCCATCGGCAAGTTCAGTCAACCCCTCCTTGCCACCCGCCCAGCCAATAATAATTTACGTTGCGCGCCTCCCTTAATTCAAATTCACCCTCCATGCTAAAGCAGCAGGACCGCGCACGCCAAGAATAATAATTTGAAGCTTTTATTCTTCTTCGGAAATTTCAGGGTTACCCGGTAATTTCAAGCCCCAGGCCGGCCCCAGAATAATAATATTGCATTTAGTCTTGTTTCAGAACATATTGAGATTCTTGGGAAATTCGAAGGTAACCCTCGAATTTCCCAACAAGCCCAAGAATAAGTAACTAATCGATAGGGCTGAATAGCTCTCAGCGCCCCGTCATACGAACAAGAGAAGCAGATGCGGGATGATAGTCGGGGAGGAGGCGGAGTCGGAGGAGGGGGAGAAAGGGGACCCATAGCAGTAGCAGGATCAGAATGGGTCGGGGGAAGAGAGGAAGTAGAGGAGGATGAGGAGGAGGAGGAGGAGAAGTGGGCAGAGGAGAGGGCAGCCACAGAGGGGCATTACTGGGGCCTCTCAAGGCCTTGCTGGGGGCCGACTGACTGGGGCCTTTTTCGAGGCAGTAGTGGGGCTATGCGGGTCCATCTTGGGCCGTCTTTGACTCCCCAAGCCCTCGGCCAAGCTGGAAAAATTGGGAGGATGACGAGGCCGAGATGCTTGTGGAGGCCCGCAAATGCCTAACGAGGGGCACACGCGTGCAACTCCTCCTCTCTACTTGCCCCTCCCTCCCCGTCCCCTCTCATCCCCCTCCCTCGCCCTCCCTTCGCCCCTACCCTTCCATCCTCCCTCCTTTTCCTCCTTCTCCTCCTTCTCCTCCGCCTCATCATCATCATCATCATCATCCTCATTATCCTCCTCATCATCATCGTAGTTTTGGCTCGAGGGTTTTGGGCGCGTCTGCCAGGCCGACGCGGTTCCTCGTGCTGAGACTAGCGCAACGTGGTCGCGACTCGGCAAGCAACCGTAGCGCCTGCCGCGATAGCCAGCGGCCCCGCCCGCCCCTGGCGGCCTGGGCGGCAAAGAGCAGCGCGCGCTGACGGGTGCGCCTGGTGGAGGGTGCCAGCCCCCCCGCGAGCCGCCACGGCTCCCCGCCTGGGAGGATGTCGGCCCAGGGCAGCGAGGGCGGCGGCAGCCAGGCGGGCTGGGACGACGCGGGTGCGGAGGAGGCTCGCGGCAGCGACAGGGTGGCGGTGTTGCGGGCCTTCGTCGCGAGGCTGGAGGCCCTGGGCAGCCTTGGCGAGGCCATGGTGTCGAACCTGGCGTCGCTTCTGGCGTCCTACCGCAGCGACGTGGCTGAGCAGGACAAGCATTGTTTGGCGAATCAGGAGCAAGTGCACGAGCGGAAGGAGGCCCTCGCCATCGCCGTGGGGGAGCTCGAGGCGGCGTTGGCCGAGCGCGCCGCCCTCGGCGCGGAGCGGGCCAAGGTCGCTGCGACCCGCCTGGCGGAGCTCGCGACCAAGGCCGCGCCGCTGGCCGAGCGCGAGCGGCTCGTCCCGGAGTATTTCGGCGGAGGGCCAGGCCCCCCCTGAGGTCGCGGCCGCGGCGCAGCTCGTCGAGGGGTGGGGCGCGCAGGAGGCCGCCACTGCCGCCGCGGCAGCCTGGCCGAGCTGCGCGGGGGGCGGCACCAGCGCAGAGTCCTTCGAGGTCGTCTCCAGCCAGGACGAGGCCGAGGGCGCGGACGCGAGGATGGACGACGCGACGGAATCGGCTCTGGCTGCGGATTTGGTGGGCCCCGGCGGCGATGGCGGCCGCCCTGCCTCGAGCCTCCGCCGCGAGGGGGGCGGCGTCATCATCGCTGCAGCCCGCGCCACGGCGGGAGGTGATCACCGCGGTGGCAGCGGCGGAGTCATCGAGAAGAAGTGACAGCGGCGGTGCGCCCGTGCCCCTGTGCCTCGACGCGCTGATCCCAGCAGGCGGCCCCGCGGCACGCGCGGCGCCCGAGGGCGGCCCCGCGGGGGCAGGCCCGCGCGGCGAGGGCGGCCGCCGCCCCGGCCGCCCCGAGGGCGCGGCCCCGAGGCGGCCAGCCTGGCAGCGGCGCGCCCGCCTGCGGCGCAATGATATTTTCGAGATCATCACGGTCAGTGGGTCTGGACGGGGCCCGCTCGCCCAGCTCTGGCAGGGGGGGGTGGCTGGCGCTGGGTTCGCGGAGAGCACCGCGCAGGCGCGTGGCTCGTCCAGGAGACGCACCTCCACGCGCGCGACATCAGCGCCCAGGTGGCGCGGTGCAGGCGTTCGGGGGTGAAGGCTGTCCTGGCACTTGGCGCAGCTGGCAGCGGCGGCGCGGGAGGCGCCCGCGCGGCCTCGGGCGGCGTCGGCGCTGCCGCCCACGCCGCGCGCGGCCTCGCCAACGCCAGATGCAGGCGGGGGCCGCGTCACCTGCAGCAACGGGCGCGGCGTCGTTGCGGTGACGGACGCAGTCCGCCGCGGCGGCCTCGCCCTTGGCAGCATCTACCGTGCCGGCGACGCGCTGGAGGAGGCCTCGCAGCGGGCCTTCATCGAGATCGGCCGCGCGCTGGTTTCCCGGGGCAGGCTGTGGATCCTTGGCGGCGACTTCAACGCTTCGCCCGACGTCCTCAGAGCGAAGGCGGGCTGGTGGCTGGAGGCGGCGCCGGGCATCATGGCGCAGTCGACCGGTTTCCAGGCGGCCGTGCCCGCCAATCTCCACTTCTTCGTTGTGCACCGGGGCCGTAAGAAGCTGCAGCGCGGTCACCCCTGGACCGTCCCGGCCCCGCTGTGCCGCCAGGCTCGCGCTGAACGCGCGCGCGCGGAGACCGCGCCCGCGCGGGTCCTGAGGCTGCCGAAGGCATTCCCGATGGGACCTGCCCATCGGCCCGCGGCGCGAGGCCGCCCTTCCGCTGCCTGACCTACAGGCGCTGGCGGCCTCGGCGGCCTCCCCCCCAGCCACGATAGAGGAGGCCTACCTCGGGGCCGCGCGGCAGGCGGGGGCAGAGCTCTGCTGCGCCTACCACGTCGACGACCCGATGGACGAGCAGGTGCACTGCGGGCGCGGCCTGGAGCCCGAGGAGAGGTGGGTGATCCCGCCCTCCGACCGCCCGCAGATCTCGGGCGGCCCCAAATCGAGCGGGGAGGCGCGGCACCCCCACACCGCGGCCGACTACTTGAACGACGCCGCCGCGCAGCGGCGCGCGCGGAGGCGCGTGCCCGCGCGGGCGGCCAA